TTTTCTTCCTTCTAATATTCTATATTTTCTGGGGCAGAGGGAGGAAGCAATAATTGGTATGAAATAAAAATAAAAGACCACAAAAACAATATAGTAAGAGGGTCATCTGCCCATGTGAAGCCCAAGGGAGGAAACCTGTGGGTGGAATTAAGAATCCAGGGCCTCTTGGCAAAGATGAGGTGAAAAATGATCAGTCACTGCAGCCTCGCTGGAGGCCAAGCCCAGGGCTGGCCTTCCACTCGGACTGGGAGATGACCTAGCATGCGGCCGCAAGGAGACTCCAGGGAAGCAGAGCTCTGGCGACTTTCAAGGGAAAGGGAGACAGACAAACACAACAACAGAAGGAATCGACCCCTGGGTGCCACCCTAGACGTCCCAAAACGGCTCAGCCCTGCTTCTCAGTGAGGTGCCCCAGCCGGACCCAGCCGGGTTCCACCGCAACACCTGTGACAGAATACTGGGCCAAGTCACTTGCCTCTGCTGACATGACCGGAAACACCCCCCAGGGCCCACGGCGGGGTAAGACGGACAAGGGGTACGACACGGTGCTGGGCCGGCAGCCTCAGACAGAACAGATGCCGGGTGAAGTGAGACATCTCAAGGACAGGAGCCCAGGGCTCCGAAGGGAGGCCCGCCGGGAGGTGGGGACCACAGGCGGGGCAGCAGCTGCCTGGACTGGGCAGGACACTTTCCTTCCCAGGTCACAGTGCCCGTCCAGACCTACGGCCGCCACAGGACTGAAGCAGACACAGATGCAGGTCGCGAGATGGGAGACGGGACAGTGGAGGGATAAGCCCAGGTGACACTGCAGCGCAGGGCACGCAGAGGCTGCGGCAGAAGAGGTGCTCAGATGGTCCCGAAGGGATGGAAAGATCCAACAGCCAGAAGAGAAGCAGAATGATCTGTAAAGACAAACTACAAGTGCATGGAACACACAGTGAGGGTGTCACAGAGCAGCGTGCACGTCTGAGGAGAGCTTTCAAGGACCCCAGGCCCTCCAAGGCCACATCACAGCCACAGGGCAGATGTCCAAACACACACCAAGAGGTGGGTGACCCGGTGCTGCCGTCTCATCCTCCTGTAACAGACACAGAAACCTTCCTTACTGTTCCCTTTCTGGTAAAAGGGGCAGCTGCTGTCCTGACTGAGGAGATGGAAGGTGCCATTGGGGCGAGGAAGTGACCATGCCACCTCAGGATACCGGGCTTAGACTGGCAGACGGCCACGTGCCGGAAAGGCAGAGCTCAGCGCTCACTGAGGCAGGGACTGGAAACCAGCAAAGGGAACATACTTTGGAAATAATCCTAACCAGTCACCTGCAGGCGATCCCAAGAATAAAGACAGGGCTACAGGCAGAGGTCCCGGATGAGACATCACCAAGAAAGAAGTCACATCAGCTGTATCAGGCTGTATAAATATCATTACAAGTCTCAAACACAGAATAAGTTACTTGTTTAAAAAAAATGCTAGAGGGCACAAAACACTAGGACTATTTTAACTAGATACAGGAGGAAAAATAAGACACTATCCCGGGACTTGGGGATATGCTATATTTAAAAACAAAACAAAAACAAAACGAGAAACAGAACAACTCTGATTGCTTCCAACAAGCATGATCTACAAACTAGAAGTCCTGAAACAGACAAGACAAGAAGAGAAACAGACAGCCCCTGACTGCTTGAACCTCACATCTTCAGGACCCAGACAAGCACCGCAGGGCATGAAAACAATTGCAGAAAGGACCTGAAGCCCGATCCGAAGCTTACTGCAGTATCAGGAAAGGACTTTTGATAAAAGATCTCAGTTGGTGGGTCTTTCACGTTACCTTTGTGAATGAGAAGGCAAAGGTCACGACAGTTTAGTGTGATAAAGAGAGTGGGCGCCCACTTGCCCCGCACCTCAGGGGCGTAGGGCAGCTGGAGGGCAGCTCAGCGTCTGGGGAGGACTCTCTGCCAGGCCTGCCCTCAGTGACTCCCCCAGTGGAGGCACTTAAGAGATCAAGTGACAAACCAGACTTACAGTGACCTTCACAGGACAGGAAGCAGAGCCAAAAACAAGAAGATTGAGATGAAGAAGGGCCAGCGCAGACGTAAAAGCAACACCACATGGAGAGAAATTCAACTCGGCAACAGAGCAGTTGAGGGAAGCCCTGGGCATCGTGACCACAACTCAGCATGAACAGAAGTGTGGCACGACCACTAGACCAAGTGACAGTGTCCCCAGGCTGCAGTAAGGAAAGGAAAGTACATGCTCGCAAGGGAAATGCCCTTACCCAAGACCCCCCGCCCAACAAGGTCAATGCCAGGGACACCAGGCACCCACTAGAGTACAGTGCTGGGCTGACCACAGCCTTGGGGCATCTCAGAGGGTCGGTGCCAGGGCCACAGGCCAGTGTCTGGGAAAGGGTTAAACTGCACGGCTGGACCCAAGGCTGCTGTACACCAGGCCACTGGAAAAGCTGACAGCAACCTTTCAAGAACTGGCCTACTGTCAGGGTCTCCCACTGTCACCTGTTACTGCCCAGCCCTGAGCACACCTCCACACCACGGTCCTCCGTCAGCCTGCACTTAGCTCCTCCATATCCAGTCCCCATTTTCTACAAGCCTTGTGCTCCTGGAAGTCTCCCAACCCACCAGCCCGGAAGGTTGTCTGTCTGTCTGTCTGTCTGTGTCTCATCCCATATTCTTTCCGTGCAGATGCCTGCCCTTGAGACTGGAGGGCTGAAGGGACTGACAATGAAAAGGACAGGGGACAGACTCATCACTTTTTAAGGATCTTTTGATTCCGAAAGTAGATGATGGGGGGGAGGGTGTAGCTCAGTCGTAGAGCGCGTGCTTAACATGCATGAGGTCCTGGGTTCAATCCCCAGTGCCTCCATTAAAAATAAATAAACCGATAAGCCTAATTACCTCTCCTGAAAAAAAATTTTTTTAATAACAAATAAAGAAAAAAAAAGATGCTGTCTCCAAGAAAGGGATCGTCTCTTGATCTGAAAGAAACCTGGCAAGGGCCACCATCAATCTTAGAATGAATGAGATGGGTCTGGACAGTCAACCCATGGGGGCAGGAACACTTGTTCTCACTCACCCACCTTCTCCCGTCCCACTCTCACACACACACCCACCCTCCCCTTGGGCCCAGCAGGGTCCTGAAAGCTGCCTTCCAGGGCTCTCTCCTCCTTCCTGGTCCTCAAGGCCCCGGGCAAAGTATAAAGGCTTCTCCACACCCAAGGGGCACAGTCCTCCCTTCACTCAGCGCCTGCACTTAGTGGGAATGCTTTCTTAAAAGACTACTTGGAATGACAGCCTTCGAATTCAAATGATGAGCTAACATCCACCAAGTAGGAATGAGCATAGTAAAGCGAATTTAGAGTAAAAACACAGAATGAAGAGAAATGGCACAAGGTAGTCTGATGACTCGGTTTAAAAGAAAAAGAAAATGAAAAAGAAACACAACCCTGACAACTGGAGCTGTGCAACCAGGGCAGGGCTGGCTGCCCTGAAGAGTTGACATATGCTTATCAGGGATGCTGGCGAAGGCACCTGAGTGCCCAAGGCCTGGTGTCCTTTTACCCTGAGTCTGGAACTTGCTCCTTCACCTTCATACTTTTGAAATTCAGTACATTAGCTCCCACTAAAAGAAGCCTTAATTAGCTTTACATAAAATGAAGATACACCATGCAATCTTCTTGAGGAATTGGAAGATGAATTGTGGAAGGATGCAGGGAGTCACCACAATAACCCACGAACAAAAAAGACTCATGCTGGAATATCCGGTGCTTTGCCGGACCTTGACACACAATGGGGCCCAGCAGACTGCACAGAGATGAATGGCTTCAGGTTAAGTAAGCCCTGTCATTATTAATTCATCTAAGGTTCTTGAGCAAAGCCTGTAGTCTCAGTTCTTCAGTTTCCCAACAGGGCTAATGGGTAACAAAATGCAAAAGCAGAACGCAGGGGCCACCTGGGTGACTGCAGCTTATCCTACAGCTGCCCCAGTGCCCCCAGCTCAGGAGCAACAGAGCAGGGCATCACCCAGTGCCGCGTCATCCCATAGGAGCGGCTGGTCTAGGTCAGAGCTTCTAAATCGCTGAGTCCAAGGGGGATGATAGCACTTGCATAACTTGTCCAGCTCCTACTCACCTCATCTTTCCAGCTATTTCACAAAGGAGATTCTATTAGTAGTTTCACTTTGCAAATGCAGAAACTGAGCCTGGGCCAGGCAGTGGTGGAACTGGAATAGCGCCCAGCTCCGTGTGACTGCAACTCCCAAGCTCTTTAAGCCATCAATGACACCTATCGCTCCTCCCCCAGCCCACCACATTCCTGCCTAGCTGTATCAGAAAACAAGACGTCAGAGAGATCTGGGCCTTCAACAAATCCAAAGGCTCCTCTCCTTGGATTCAACTCATTGAGAGTCTTTCCTGCACCCTCTGAAATTCTCATCCTCACTGAATTAAGGAAGGGAAATTCTTTAAATTCTAAAAGACTCTAGAGAAGAACCTGTTGGCAATGCTCCACAAATATTAACAATAGCAGCAGGAGAACAGCAATTCCTCGGTGCTGGAAGGTAGCAGCACCCCAAGCACTTCGCTTCTTCCTCCAGAGCTCACTCGTACCCTCTATCCTGCCTATGACTACCCCAGGCAGCCTCACCGCAGGTGGGCAGTCGGAGGCGGCACCGCGTGAGGTAGGGGTGGAAGGTGTTGAGGGGACACGGAACAGATCAGGGGCGGGAGAGGGAGGTGACACTGGAGGAAACGGGGAATCGATCTGGGGGGAGGGGAGTGCTGGGAAGACAAGCCACCAATCTAGAGGAAGGAGAGAGCTAGGGACACGGAACCGACCTGGGCGAAACGGGTGACAGGGGGAGATGCGGAAGCGGCCAGACGGAGAGGTGATGCTGGGGGGACGCGGAACTAACGAGGAGGGGGCGGTGACACTGGGGGGACGCTCCATTGACTCGGGGGGAGGGCTGCTGGGGAATCGATCCGCGGGTAGAGGGTGCTGGGGGACGCAGAACCCACCAGGAGCAGCGTGAGGGCCCCGAACAGCGCCGACAGTCTACCGCTCACCTGCGCGTGGGCCACCACTAGGCTCTTGTTGCCTTCACCGTGGTACCCCCATTCATTCTCGT